AACAAAAAAACAAGTGAACTAACCATGCTATTATTAGTAGCGACCTTGTCAGATATTGCCTATATTTTGAGGTTGCTTTCTATAAAACATTTTCTTTAGATATATTAAAAGGAAATTTACATTTTTATTATAAAAATATTCACCAAAAAAAAAAAAAAAAAAAAAAAAAAAATAGGTTTCCCAGGTAAAAGTTGATCAGTGGCAATTTGAAGTATATTATGGATCGAACTTAATCGATAGCATTTTGGCGTTCAACAGATATCACGGCTATTTTCAATATTTCATATTAAATTTGTAATTTAAACTCTTTCGATACATTATCTTTACATATCCATTTTTAATGTTAGACATAATGAACAACTTTTTAATAACTTGAACAAAATTTAAGATATCGTTATATGATAAATAAAAAAAACCAGTATTATATAATATATGAATTATAAATACATTTATTCTGTAATAACGTGTGCATAATTTTATAGGCCGATAAATATCTATAAATCTTCAAAAAATGCTATTTCCCTCATCGATTTTGGCACGTGCCTTATTCAGAAAAACTAATATGACAAGAAATTAAATTATAATAAATCAATTTCTATAGATTGAAATGAAATATAATAAATCTGGCTGCGTAGAATATTTTTGGATTAGGAGTTTCTCGCCCGCGCACAGAACTCTCGACATTTTTTCTTTTGGCCATGGTGTTGTCTATTTATTTTTATCAAGTTTTATTTAAATTTTCAACAAAAAAAAAAAACCCACGTCTGTAGGTCAAGTGTCGAGTTTAAATCAATTGTTGATAAATGAGACACCAACTTCTTGAAATAACAAAACTATTAAAATACTGACGAATTTCTTGACTTGTGACCGGCTCTTGTATATAGTGGGATTAAACCACTTATTAGATACAATCCCCGTCCTTCATAGCCTTGATCAGTGGACCATCAAAAGGAACATGAATAAAAATACAACAAAAGTTTATGTATTTTTTTTATAACAATGTTTTAATTTTAACATTGCTAGCTTTTACTGAAAGCCCTTAAGTTAACAAACTGTACTGAAATTGTGGGGGAAATTTTATTCAAAAGAATGATAAAAACACACATTTAATTAAGATACGCGATGTCTTTCTCTTGCCTTAATTATACAGTCAATACCGAATTTCCGCTAACCATGACTTAACTCTAACATTACTTGTATTGGCTTCTAATAAGAGCGAACTGTGAGATTATGGTCATAGTTCAGTCTGGTGTCATGTCCATGGTCTGCGTTGACGCAGCGTCAACTTATTTTTTATTAGAAAAAATACGATAGTTACGGATGCATTAAAAAATGCAGAAAAAAGGTAACATCAGTTTGAAAGTATTTGGTGCGACACTCCCGGGGGCCGAACTCACGATCAAGCCCGCACAATACATGCAAAGAAGATTTGACATACATTTGATGTTTTCCTATTTATTTTCTTATATATTTATTTTAAGGACAGTCACCTATACATTTTATCAAAAACATCAAGGTGATGAATTGTATACGAAATGGTTGAGAAATTCTGACTTGTAAAATAAAAATGATTTGAAATAAATTCACCTAACAGGTAAGTTGTATGTTTGAAAGTCTAGTTTGATTATTGTTTCTCTTTCAAATATTTATCTTGCAGGTCCATTTTTAAAAGTTTAGTTTGCTTTGGTGGAATTGAGTTAGAGAGTAAAAATGTACAAAAAAAATATGTGGGGTTTATGTCATCGGGACTGCACCCAAACGACAGAAAAAACACAAAATACGAAATAGTTTACACTATAAAAATCGAAATATTGTATGATTGTCTTTGAGAACAAAATCTATACAAATACCAAAGAACAGGGATTGTAACAATGGACTTTCACGACGATCAAAACCAACACTTGTAATTTAGTGGTACCGTTGTCGTTAGTTTTTATCTTCCATATTTGTTTTTTTATTATTGTTTTTAACATTAATCAGGCCGCTGGTTTTCTATTTTGAATTCTTTCACGTTCTGTCATGGTGGCTTTTTTTTATTTTTTTTTTATAGATTATTACACGGTTTGTGTTTTGCTCGTTGTTGAAGGCCGTACAGTATTATGATTGTTTACATTTTCACGCTTATGTCTCTGGTGGATACATGTAAATGTAGTTGTCTCATTTGAACATATTCTTATTCATACAAAATAGTTAACTGTTGAAGGAACTTGTAGGACAAAATATGTAACAATTCAACAAACAAAAATATATTGCCTGAGTATACAAAAACAATAAACAAAAAACGATCATGACAAAATCCGCTGCCTGACATCCAATAGTTTGCTAAATCGCAACACCGAGAGATGACTTACATCAAATAGTTTGTCAATTCACAACAAGGAGAGCTGACTTACATCAAATAGTTTGTCAATTCACAACAAGGAGAGCTGACTTACATCAAATAGTTTGTCAATTCACAACAAGGAGAGCTAAATGACATCAAATAATTTGTCAATTCTCAACACCGAGGGTTGACTGACATCGAATAATTTGTCAATTCACAACACCGTGGAAAAAAAATAATTACAAATCAAATCATTATACTAGTGATATATAGAATTCATTAGACCGTATCTGTATAACAATCTATTTGATATCTACTTTCGTCACACTCACATACCGATCCATGTTATTAGTGTGCATTGTAGCTGCTTTTTAAATGCAAATTGTGTCAAATAAAACTGCATCAATTAAGGTAGATCGAGTGTCTTTTTCTGAGCCTCCCTTATTGGCATGTTGTAAAAATACTTTTTAGGTTTAGAAATATTTTACCATGTATCATTCAGTATACAACAATAATAAAAAAAATAAATTAAGTGTCCATATAAGCGTATTTAAAACTTATAATTATACTGAATTTCATAGGACAGTTTTGTGATTTTTTTTATTTTTCAAGAAAATAAGGCTCGTGACTCCCTATTTATTTGTTATTTCGGAAGTATTCATGAAAAGCTATTTTCTCATTAAATTTTAACCAATTCTATCGTTCAAAGTTTATAATTTAGGTTATAACCCATATAAAAATAACTGTGATTTCGTTAATTTCAATGTATTTTAACAAAATAAAAAAAAGTCAGTGACCCCCAGTTTTCATATTGAAATTTGAAAGTACATTGACCCAGACGTCTTTTACAGAAGTTAAAGAAACATCTATCGTCAAACATTTAGACACCCAAGCTACCTTAGCACACATGTTATGTCTTGTCGTTTGGCAGAATTGTCTGAACTCTAACGACAGCTACATGATTTAGTAACAAAAAGACTAAATAAAAAGGTAAGTAATCTTTCAAAAATGAGAAAGAAACCTGTATATTATTTATGGATTACCTACTTTTGTTATAAGTCGTTGGGTTGCTGTCCCATTGACGTATAGCCCACATCTCTTTTTCATAATTGATTTTTAAAGTTTGTTCTACTTCACCACTGCACCCTAAGTTATAAATATATTATGTAAGAAAAAACAGGATAAGCTCGGTCTAACTTGTCTGTTTCGTTTATTGACCCCAAAATAGATTAAAAAAATGTGGCATAAACGACATAGACAGCAATCTAACGGTAAACATTAATAAAAAAAAATCAAACATATGTACAAGAATAGGCATTCTGATATTCAACAGCACATTTAATTAAAAATGAACAAGAATTTTCATCTTCTATAAAAATATATTTGAATAACAGTTGTTGAAATTTTTGAACATTTGTATAAATTACTTTCTCTTCAATGTCAATGATAGTTAACAATCAATAAGATTTGTCCAGTTTGAAAATTCGTTATGATAACATATTATAATTAATGCCTTGATACTCTGTTTATTTTATAGATAGAAGTCCTAATTGTAAAATTTATCAATTTTTTTTTGTGTCGTGCTGTTGCTGTCTATTTAATTTATACCCCTCACCTCCATCTATTCATATCAGTGGTGAACTCGACATTGTTATGATCGGTATGCAGTAGAGGGTCTGGATGGAGGTCCTTCTCTTAATTTTTAGGCCATTTTTCTCTATTCTTTATTATTTTGGCCATTTTTTTTCTTTTTCTTTATTATTCTTGATTATTTTGGACAATTTTTTCTCTATTCTGTATAATTTGTGTCAATTTTTTTCTATTCTTTTTTATTTTTTGCCCATTTTTTTCTATTTATTATATTTTAGAACCCAATTTTTCTCTATTCTTTATCATTTTGGCATATTTTCCTCTATACTTTATATTTTTTGCTCATTTATCTGTATTCTTGGTGCATTATTGTCTGTTCTGTAAACCCCATCCATACTCTCCTAGTAGAGGACACTAAAATAAACTGAGGTGTGCACTAGCTGGCAATTTGAATATCATCGTTCTTTTTTCAAGATAAAAAGCTGTACTTGGAAACACTAGGATTCGCAATGTACGCCGGAAAATAGGTGAGGGTGTGAATTGGGTTTTACAGAATAGAGAATAATGGGCAAAAATATAAAGAATAGAGAATAATGGACCAAAACAAAATAAAGAATAGAGAATAATGAGGTGCTGAAATATAAAGAATAGAGAATAATGGGCAAAAAGAATAAAGAAAAATGGCCTAAAAAAAATACAGAAATGGATGATCCCCCATCCAGACCCTCATAGGAGATTGCAGTACATACGCTTTGCAGACCAGTCAACCACCGGAATCTAAATTACATTGTTTTCTGGGATTAAGAAGACAAACGCAAACCGTATATTTTAATAATATTAAGCGATACAAGTCGAGAAATCAAATCGAAATACCAAAAGTTTACAAAATCATACATTTATATTGTATCATTATGAAGAACTAAGTCCTAAATCAATTTTGAGCCGTAACCTTACAAATAGCAAATTACTACAGATTTCTGTTACTTTATTGCCCTTATTTATATGTATAGAGTTTCTATTGATTTACAAACTTATTTACATATATTTAATTAAGAGAAAACTTGTATTGTTATGTTATATTAGAGGGGACAAATTCATCTGAGCAGATTGTAATACTCTGACCAATACCGGTGACAACTTTGTGAGAGAAAGGACGTTGATGGCGTGATAAAATAGTGGTGACATATTTCGGTGAGTTTTTTTATGATTTTAGTTTAAATCATCTTGATTTAATAATTTTCTAACAGGTAAAAAATCTTTTCGTGGATAATTGTTTAAAAATAATTATGGGTTGGTATAGTATGACATTGCGTTGATAGAAATATTCTTTTGACTTTAGTTTGTTTCTAATTACAATAGGTTTAGATAATTTTCTCTTTATCAAAAGGTACAATGTAGAGCAGTCCTATAAAAAAAATATGAACAAGTCGAGTTCCACTTTACTATCTAAATTAGGTGTTTAAAGTCTGTAGAGAATGGGGCGCGTTGCTTTTGCGCCAATTTTTGAAAATTGCTTTATCTTATTTGCGTCACAAGGTTATATTGCATTCGAGCCAAACAATAAATAATAATTTTAAAACGATTTCTAGTATCAATACAAATAAGTCAAACTATTGCTCACCAATGATATCCCGCTTGACAGGAGGCCCAATAAGAAATTTTAGAACACTATTATTAGTAGTTCCTTAGAAAATGCCAGGGGCGGATCTAGGATTTTTGAATGGGGGCGTAATTCCCAATAATTGAATATGAAAAAAAATTGACAATCTTATGTTTAAATTTATAAATATACCGTCAAATCATGAAATTGTTTTGTTGATGGCGACCCTCTGATCCGCCACTGAATGCGACGGAAATTTCATACTTGGCTATTTTACGTTTAGAATATATAAGTATTTGGTAAATAGCTAGATTTTGGACGATGAATCAGAACGCACATATCAGGTATAGCATGCAGACATGAAGTCTGGTTATCACATTTCAGGAAGCTATTATTTGTAGATCCTGAAACAAATGCGACGGAAATTTAATGGGACGGGCGGACGGACACATAGACAGGGGTATAACAGTTTACCCCCTGCTTTGGAGCAAATCTATTCGTTTTGACCAAGGAAAACATATATTGCTGGTATGCTATAAACTCACTGAATAATATAAATGAATTACTATTATTTGTACTATGTGGCGCGAATGAAATATTATTTTTGGGCGCAAATGAAATGACAATTGTCGCAAATGTAAAGCGGTGCCGAGAAAACCACATTTCAACCATTTTAAGGTCGAAAACACATTTTTAACGATTTAACATTCTTTGCAACAATACATATACCATAACTCGGACAATTGTATTTGATCACGATCAAATTAGTACTTGTTCTTTATATAGCTAAATGCTACATTTGTTTAGCTGAGAAGCAGAAGATGCACGTATACATTCTAAATTCTTTGGGTTTTATCAATTAACTTCCCGAGCTCGTAGTACGCACGTCACCATTATGCAACTGAAACATTTTGCGATTCTGTATTTTGTAGAATTGTAAGATTTGCAGGTGAAATTGTGATGTTATTGAATTATTAATAAATATCCAATGACTGTTCTACAGTGTTTATTTTTAACCTGGGCTGAATAAAACAATGTAATTTTTGTATCAACTTCATAGCTTTTTTACTATGAAAACTGCATCGCAAAAATGATTGATTAATTGAATTTTGATGTTTACGCCACTTTTAATACTTTTACTACATATTTAGTGGCGGTAAGTATATTGGTGTAGGAAGACGGAGTGCCAAGTCAGAAAAATGACGTTTTCTTTTGTTATATGTACAAATTCAGATAAAACAATAAACAATTCTAATATGACGTGCTTCTTTCGCTTTGTAAACAACACCGTGATAAAATTCTCGATATATCTATACTTAGCGCAGACTCAGAGCTGTACATATTAATGACTGTTACAATATACCTCCCACGTTAATCCACATCTATCGTAACCTATGTGCAAACGCCGATTTCGCTGGTTTAAAAATTGCAATTGAAAAAAAACTAGCATATTGTTTTTCTTTAATTGTTTAACATTTCATACCGGTATAATATGTTACTTTTATTATTCTTCCCTTAGTTTATTTATTTTGTATTTACATTGTATCATAGGTCAAATTTATTTGTTCAGTGTATATTCAATGGTGTTAATATGTCCTTTGATTGAGTTAAGCTATTTCGGTTGATATTTTATAGTGTGTCTTTCTATGTTGTGATGTTACACTATTGTTTCAGAAAAAGGGTGAAGGTTTGGTACCATTAAAACGTTTAAACCCGCTGCATTTGTTTGCACCTGTCCTAAGTCAGGAATCTGATGTTCAGTAGTTGTCGTTTGTTGATGTGGTTCATAAGTGTTTCTCGTTTCTCGTTTTTTATATAGATTAGACCGTTGGTTTACCCGTTTGATTGGTTTTACACTAGTTATTTTGTGGCCCTTTATAGCTTACTGTTCGATGTGAGCCAAGGCTCCGTGTTGAAGACCGTACTGTGACCTATAATGGTTCACTTTTATAAATTTTGACTTGGATGGAGAGTTGTCTCATTGGCACTCATACCACATCTTCTTATATCTATAGAACTTTTATTCGTATTTTGATGCATAACAAAAAGAGTTAATGCACTAGAGCTTGGAAAAATGTAAAAAATCTAAATAAAATAAAATTCCGCGAAATTCCATTAATGCTTTTGGCGCATTAAAGTCATTTCAAAACATGACGTCATACGAATGAAAACGCTAAACATGAAGCTTCTTCCGTTACGTGAACCCTCCAAATTCGGACAATATTGCATTAAAATGGAGTTTTGAGGTGGGTGTTGTTTTCTATTCAATTGTATTATTCGCACATTTACCGATTTCAGCAAGTCAACATGGCGGCTCCTTAGTTACGAAATGTCAACTGTGGATTTGACGGTACCTTACGAGAAAAAAATGTAAATTAAAAATGGCGAATGTTGGGGTTGAGATTTAAAAGAATTAAACACATTTTTTTCTAGCGGTTATTCAAGAAATAATTCATGCAAGTTAAAGATTAATTAGAATTTTTTCGCTTTATCTAACAGGGGGTAAAATGGAACAGTCACACACATGGCATACCCACCCTCGCTTCAGTTTTTTAATTACAGTATTTGTCCTATTAGAATCAAAATAATTCATGGAAGCCATAGATTTGTTGGACATTTACACATGGCCTGGGCCGTGATATTCGTTAATTTTATCCCTCGCTAACGCTCAGGATAAAATTCAAATATCACGGCCCAGGCCAAATTTCCAACAAATCTATGGCTTCCATTTCTTAAACAAAATGTTTGCCATATCATTTTATGCAAAGGTTTTGATTTTCTTTTTTCTTTCTTTATGTTTGTTGGTAGGTTTTTGGTGGTCTGGAGTAAAAAACAAACTCAAAAGTATATTTTCAGAAAACATTTTGAGAAAACTAAGAGGACATTTGAAATTATATCATAGTCGTAAAACATGATTAACTTCAATTCAAAAAACTATAATGTGACGCGTTTGAACAAAAATATTTCTATGTTAAAAAATGGCATCAAACGGTATGCATGTTTAGTTTAGTGCTATGACCGACAATCAGGTTTCATAGAATCTAACCTGAGGCAAGAGACAAAAAAAAAAAAACAAAAAACAAAAACACAAAAAACAAAAACAAACAAACAATCAAATGCGAGTTAAAATATTTAAATTTGATTTTGAAATTATTATTGTACCATATTTGCTGCACTAGTGAACTCTGCTAATTTTGTTATGTGCGTTTTGGAGGCAAATAAACGTGTAGCTCAACTTTATACAATCGACACGCATGCTCGTCAATTGTGATAATTAAGAATCAATTGCAAAACCAAAGATCGACAAACAGATCTAACGTACTTCATTTAATATACTAGTATCTACATCGGTGATCTCGTGGTGCGAGAGGCCGTATGTTCGAAACTCGGCCGGGTCTTAAAAATTCGTATTTGCTACGCAGCACGCCGTATTAAGGAGCAAGAGCAAAGACTGGTTGGCACGGAGTCAGAATAATATGTCCGGGTAGGGTGACATGTCATCCTGCGCACTGTTAACTTATGAACTAGCACGTAAAAATTCCGGCTCAGCGTGTCGATCTAGTACAAAGCAGGGTTTATATTCATACCGTACTAATATGTTCTTGCCAGACTATGCATTTAATTTGCCAGTGGACGTTAAAACAGCCATCATCCATCCATCGTTTGAAATATGAGTAGCTGAGAAGGTCCGATCAACATGTTGGTTGTCAGTACGTATAACAATAAACAAACCCCGTATTGTAAACTAAATATACAATATTCGTATAGTGTGGGAAATTATTAAATTTATTTGACGAGCTATATATTCAGAGAGAAAAGTGAGGTTCGCCTCCGTTGATTTCCTTTCGTAATGATAGAAACTGCCGACACCTCTTGTTTTGTGGCGAGTACAAATGCATTATGTGTTTTCCTTCACTGTACAAATATTGGGCCGTTTTCTGCTCTTTGGTCGGGTCGTTGTCTCTTTGATACATTCCCCGTTTCCATTCTCAATTTCATTATCCTGTAATTTAACATTGAACTTAAACGTATAGTGTTTTTTAATCAATCCAAATCGTTGCGTTTTTTTTTAAAATGAAACCGAAAAAAACGCGTACCGCGATTAAGACCCCAAATTAAACTGTTACGTAAACAGTAATTTAAACATAACCGTTCGCCTGCAACATAAGCAAGATACTAGGAGACTAAAGCGACACCTGAGATCACACCCGGTTTTTGGTGGGGCTCGTGTTGCTCAGTCTATGTTGTGTTTTATATACTGCTGTTTGTCTTTTGGTCTTTTTCTTTTTTGCTATGACGTTGTCAATTTTTATTTTCGACTTATGAGTTTGAATGTCCCTTTGGTATCTTTTGCCTCTCTCTAATACCACGAGAGTGACTATAAACGTATACGTTTATTGCTTTATGTTATCTGTCAACCTGTATTTGTATAGTAGAAAGGTCAGTTAAAGAATAAAATAGAAAAATTAATACCTCAAGAGGACATACTGTGTCACTACTCAAAAGAGGATCATATACACATGATTTATTACTCCTTACAATTTCGTAAATGTTATTGACCGAGACGTTCCAAAAGATTAATTTTATTTCCGTATAAAATGCAACATCTATGACTACACGTGCTCTTCGTGACAACGTTTAAATAATGCGCAGAAAAACATATTAAAGGTGTAATTTTACTGTTATTTCGTGGTTGCAGCATACACATGTAATTATACATTGTAAGTCAATCGCATGTTTGTAATTTTATAGGGTTGAAAAAGATCTGCATGCAAAATGTGCTTCGATGAACAGCATAACGGAAACGTGAAGCAGTATTACTATGAAAATGCCAGAATGACCTACGCATACATTTTGCGCAAAATAAGTAATTTTAATTAAAAAAAACAAGCTTGTAGACAGAAATAACTAAATGAACCCAAAAGGAATCTAATAATAAGATGTGCCTTTGTGCAAGCTAAAGAGACGAACAGAAATGGTTGTTTTCATGGAAGTATTACATGAACGACGTATTACTGCAAGAAATTCTTAATTCTCTTTCAATTAATCAGAAAAAGACTAAAAGAAAACGGTTTAGTCAAAAATTAAAATCTTGAAGCATTAAGTCTTGCCGCATCCCATGGCTTTAATATTTCCCAACTTGTACATGTTATACGGTTTGTTAGCTCTATAATGGAGCTAAATTATAATGAGCGTAGCTTTACATTTACACAAACGATACTTTAAACCGGGTAACAGATACTAGAGACTTTTGAATACTTGCAGAAATATTGTTGCTGTCTGCATCTTATAAATATGTATAATATGTCCCGTAAAAATAATAGCAGACGATATTTCTCATTCTATCTTGTATTGTTATTTCATAAATATAATAAAAATATCAAAATTTTTTTATGAGCTTCGTTAGAAGGACGAATACAAAATAGTAAATATTTTTCTGACATTGACCTAATATTGTTTATATACTGCAGCTAAAAATAGCAACTATAAATTAAGGTTTATGAAAAAGATAACACAAAATAAGAACTTATTTTCCTTCAATGAACGAATCTTTGATTGTGATTTTTAGATCATGAACAGTAGATACTCGAAAAAATTAGGCAATGACGCCGTGTTACAGTGTGCAGCAACGTCATGCGTTCATTTCCATCCGCGTCAATTTATCAATGAAATTCACCCGACTTCATTCACACAATCGAATATCAATCACAAAGTTTTGTACGCGTAAAAATAGTTTTACGATCTTTTTTTTAATTTTATTTCATATTCCCAACCAAAAAACATACAGTTAAGACAAATTGCCGATAAAAATAATAATGGCATTTTAAAATTATGTACTGACTTCATCAGCTCGTCATAGCGAGCCCGATTGCTATTCTTGCTGATAAAGTCAGTATCAAAAACAAAAATGCCATTATTCTATATATATTAGTAGTTAAAGAAAACAGGAAGTGTTCTTGCTGCTGTTTAGTATTTTTAACAGTACAATGCATATATACGCAGAAAACCTGATATTCGATACGAATACTAAAATTAAGGATAAGCTAGAAAAAGATGATTTGATAGTTTACAGTAATATCAGGCCTTACTGAACAAAAGTCGAGCTTTAAATTGATGCATTTTAAAAAATCACCAAGTTACTCTCCTTATTAGAATTTGATGCCTGAGTGAATACCGATAAAATCAGTTAAAAATTTCACGCTATTTTACGCATTATTATAGTGATAATTAGAATATGGATAGTTTCAAATTCATTTTAGGGGCCTTGGTGGCCTAGTGGTCCAAGTAGTTGAACTGCACAATCACTAGCCGGTGCTTCTCTCCTGGCACTTCGGCTTCCTCCACTAATAAAAACCGACTGTCACGGAATAGCACAATAGTACTGAAAGTGGCAAAAACATCAATCAATCAATCAATCAATCAATCAATCAATCAATCAATCAATCAATCAATCAATCAATCAATCAATCATTTCATGCTATCTAGTCATGTCCTTAATAATACAAAATAGATACATTTTAGGGTTCCGTTCAGTAACTCCAATATGCTTATACATGTAACTGGGAATAACTCTTCAAGCGAAGTTGTCCTGATGCGGTTCAGGTTGTTATGTATAGGCCCTGTTGGTTTTAATGTGCTCGAATATTTTATATAATTAACTTTTCTTACCCAAGCCAACGAGCGTGTCTGATCAATGTTAAAAAACACATGCTTTGTAAGCAAAGAAATATTTGTTATATTTAGGCCTTTTTGTTTTTTACGCTCGCGAACATTTCATATAATTGGATTTTCTTGGATCTTGGACGTGGTCACGATCTTGTCTGATCAATGGTTTTAAAACATAAACATGTTTTGTTAGAAAAGCAATCATGCAATAAACCCAGGGGCGGATCCAGCCATTTATAAAAGGGGGGTTTCAACTATATGTCCCCATTCAAATGCATTGATCGTCCAAAAAAAAAGGGGGGGGGTTTAACCCCCGGAACCCCCCCCCCCTCCTCCCCCTGGATCAGCCACTGACACCTTCTACTGTCATTGGGCCAGCACTGCTTATGGGCTATCAGTCATTAGTTATAGAATAACTAATCTAATTATTTGAGTCACCCTTGTCATTTGGAAAAACATGACTTATTATTGCTCATGTAACGTCCATGTATCTTTTGACCGAAAACCACGTTTGAGGTTTCAGCGCAATACCTTAGGTGTGTTTATCAGTTTCTTTGAGCTATTCAATAAATGCTTTGAATTTACCTCTAACAGCACATTTCAGAGTTTCAATTTCATACATTTCACACACGCAATACTAATTTCCTTGTAACGATAAGAAAAACATGCACCAAATTCAGGTCAAATTAAAATTTCCATTCGTCCATATATTTTGCAGGCCATTGACCCATATGTCCATAAAGATTTTTTTCCAATATATATTAAATTTTATTAACAGATAGAGCTCAAGCCAAAAAAAGACGTCAATAAAGGCGAAATGGACCTCAACAAAACCACTTTGGACGCCGGCCATGCAAACAAAATGTACGTATAATTGATAAGCAGGAGAATTTATGAGAAACGGCAATAAGGTATAAGACTTTGCCAAAAAAGTCGCACATTAAACACCGACAAGCCAGGAGCTTCGTTAAATGTAATCTTTTTGTTATTTGTCAATCTTAAAACACACTGCCGATATGAACAATTGATAAAACAATTCTTTTAAAAATAATTATTGTCTTCAATGAATAATTTAAAGAACGTTATTATTTCTTTTAACCCGAATAATTCAGTCGTTATATTCCACTGCTCTACGATGGCTACATTAACGCCTGAAGGCCTTGTCAATAATTAATCGCCAAATAATCATTCGGAATTAGCTCGGTATTTACCTATCTCGATAACATTGAGCTATTAGCTGATTGGCTCTCTCTCCTAGAGAGCACCAATTAAAATCCTGGATTCGTGACGCGGTTTTTATCGTATAAAGAATTCAGGCCCTCGCGAGTGAGAGAGTCGATCACGGGGAGGGACTGAATTATTCGGGTTACATTTCTTTTAACAGAAATTGTACCTACGATGATATACCACCAGTTCTGGAGAAGTATGAAACAGCTTGTCTTATGCTGCTTGGATTTGGAGGAATCTCGTTGGTTCTCGCGGTATCTTACAACTACATCAGACGTAATGTTTATCACGAAGAAAAGAATGTGGATAGGACTTTCGACGCAGGTGGAAAAGTCAGCACTAGTTTGACGGCTGTGACAGTGGCATCACAGCTGCTCTGGCCCGGGGATTTGATGCAAAGTGCAACTGTAACTTATAAGGTATTACTTTGTCAAGTCGACAATTTCTTAAGGAAGGTATTTTAACCCAATGTTTCTGGGTGAATATTACAATAAATGGGTATGAAATAATTCATATTTGTGAAATGGACGAATTTTAATTAAAGACGTAAGCGCCATTGATTTCCTTACGTAATGACAGAAACTTCCGACGCCTTTTATTGACGCGAAGGCAATTGAATACCAATTTGAAGTTACATATTTTGTTTTTACTAATAGAGACAGATTAAAAATGTTTTAGCAGACATTTTGCATAATGTGTTGTTAAGCTATAATAATATTAGGCTTAGGTCTATTCGGGTTACATGTTCAAAGTTATAATGATATATGGGTCATTGATATTTGGTACTGAACACACATAATGCATATAATCCTAAAAGACAATTTATATACAGCAATTTAGTATATTACTTCGAACATACATGTATACTCGTTTTGATTCCTATGTTTTTAGACTGGTATAGCAGGACCGTTTTGGTATACAGTTGGAGCAGCCATGAACATAGCTGTGTTTCCTGTAATGTCCGCGCATCTAAAGACAAAAGCACCTGGAGCAAAAACCTATCCCCAGGTGGGTAGATACAGTTATGATAAATCAATTAGAAAATGAAAGTTCATGCAAAATAATCATTGATATTTTTTGCCGGTATCATGGCCAAGTGCCGGCAAAAAAATATACAGTAAAGATACAGTATCTTTTTTTATGACTTTAATGAAGCTATTTTATTACATTTTAACACCTCTCAATTTCATGTTCGATTATTAACGAAATGCAGTGTTACAAAAGAGTTCCAATGTTTGAATGATAATAAGTTAAACATATTTTGTTAAAAAAATGCAAGAAAGATGTTTTTAACATTTTTCTTGCATTAGGAGCTAATTCTAGTTTGCATTCTTTATAATGTAGTTCGTAGGCCCTCTGTTTGTTTTGGACACAATGTATTGAAACATAGACTAGTGCATTAAGGACATTGAATGTAAGACACCAAATGTATTGTGTGACAATTGACTGTGATAAAAAACGTATCGTGAAGTCTTGTTCAAACTTGTTAGACTCATTCAATTCGTTCGTGATTTTCACGCTAATTTATGACATTAGTTTTTTTATGGGATAAAAATAGAGTCAACATTTAAAAGTCAATTAAAAACCTTTTTTCAAATTAATCATTAGAAGAATAAAATCTATGAAGAAAATGAACACCAAAGTCAATAATGCACTTCTGCCCATTTACAGCATTTTCTTAATTTCTTGTTTTTGCAACAACAAAAATAATACGTTTAAGTAATAATCATACAACAAAATGTTTAGGTTTAGAATATTAGAGCACCACTGATATCGATGAGCCTTATGTAGATGAAACGCGTCTGGTGTACAAAATCAAACGCCTGTGTTCTTTGATCAGCCTTTAAAGCATTACATTGAAATTAATCCAAGGGATTACAGGAAATGTTTCGTTTTAGCGACGACAAAGGGAATTCTCATAAAAAAGAGTCAACATTTAAAAGTCAAATAAAAACCGTTTCAAATTAATCATTAGAAAAAAAATCTATTAGGAAAATGAATATCAAAGTCATTTTTCTTTTTGGTTTGAAAAAGATACGCACGACTTTAGTTTTCCAAATAAAATTGGCAGTATATTTCTGTTTTGGGTTGAAACTATCATTTTTACAAAATTTAATGTACTGACTCAATGTCAAACTTTTGAAATATATCAGTCACTTTTTAAAACATTATTTGCAATTTTTACTCCTGACATTAATGGAGTTTATGCGTTTCATTTGTTGTTGAGTATGAAAGTCTTCATCATATGCATTTTTGCCTGATGTATTTAATATAAGAAAAAGCGAACATTAACAAGAATTTTATTTACAAAATGTTTCAGCCGGCTACAAGATGTATGGGACATTAAAAGTAGTATGGGACATTGTGATTTCTCGTGTTGTTGGTGCATCTGTTAGAACAATTGTGTTACAGTAAAACATAAGTATAAAACAATCAGGGACTGTTATATCAGATCGGCATGATGAGAACTAAAAATTGAACAAAAATACAAAAACACAAAGTACCGATCTACGAGTATTTGCAGTAACTGAAAGCGTGTTCAACCTCTATTTCAACTACTAAATAAACTATTTTCCCAGACCGAAATGCAAATCAGTGCATATACAACAGATTTAGTGTACAAATGTTATGTAGGGTCTTAGAAAAGCAAATACTGATGCAATTCTAACTTGTAAACATCGACTGGATTTAGGACCATAAATGCTCACAACATCAACGTTACAATTACGATGTGATATTTATTTGTATTAAGGTTTTTACAGGTATAGCCAAGATTCAAACCAAGTGTTTATATGATTGAAAGTTTTTTTTAGTAATTTGTAGTAACGAAATTCCTGACTTAAATATTCACTATTTAAAATATCACTTCAAACAAGGACATACTGAACGAATATGCACACCGTAAGAAAGAACAAAGGGAACATCGCTGTGCAAAAAGGAAATGTTACAGTAAAGAACGAAAAATTATCTCTTTTGTTGTAATTCTTTGTCTATAGAATCCCACGTGAAACTGAAATATCAAAACCTGGAAAAGAAACCTCATTGTTGCTTATATAAGATTTATGTAAATTTCTGGTATCTTCAATGAGTTTTTTGGTACTTTTTTTTACTCATCTGACCCGAACTGTTATGTTTTTCCTGTCATTGTGTTATCTATTGTCTGTCGCCTGGCGTTTGTCGAAACTTTGAAAACCTTTCTCTTTTGGAACCAATGGACAAATTGGTGCAACACTTGGCCTGCGTCCTCCGTAGGGAGTCTAATTAAGAACGGTTATGTCAAATGACCCCGTTATTCAACGACCAAGGCCGCTTTATCTTTGATAACAAAAGGTATGAAAAATTAAAAAAAAAAATATCAGGAAAATACTCTAATTCACCAGTTACTTTCAAACCCCGATTAGATAATATATCATAGATATAAGAAGATGTGTATATATTTGCGATCCCCTACAAGAAATATAAGCAAATAAGCAATTGGACAACAATTAGCAAGAAATGAATTTCTAAACAATCCCGTGAAGGATGTTCTATTATGACACCTGAGTTCTTCCCATGACGTTTTATCTGTTTGGTACTCGTATGTTGCAAGGGTGAGAACCAACCTACTATCAATCTTTCTTTTTGGAACCCTCTTTACAAGTAATGGTTGATGATCTCATCCACTTTGATAAATTGCTGCCAGCCATTAACAAAAATCAGATCGTAAATAGGATAAAAGAATCGATGAAAAATTCAGCCACATTTGGGAAGTCGATTGCCTCCAACCTTTGGTCAATGTTATTTTTATGATGCACTTTTATACTTTTATAGTTGATGTCCATCTTAAGTGCCAGTCTTTGTAAGAATCAGGCAATTTAGAAAAATTTCAAAACATGGCCGAAAAAAACCCACCTACCTAACCATCCTATTTTGAAGTTAATCTCATCCTGAGTAAGAAATAGAAGGTCTTTTGATTGTGTGTGTCTGGTAATTCGAGAAATATCTAGATAACTTTTGGTTAGGATGATAGCAAATTACGGAATTAGCTCCCCTTAATTGTTAATTTCTAGTGCATTTCAACCAAATTATACATTGAGTTACCAGAACAGGAAAAGGAAACGAATGTTATATTCATGCACCATTATACAATTTGAACATAATATAATGTCAACATGAGTGGGTTTTTGTTTGTCATGTTTTCACCACTGCCTGATTCTTAGGCAGACTGGCACTTAATGTTAATGTTACATAAATTAAAAGAAATAGAAAAAAAAAATGAAGTATAATCTTTACTACATGAAAGGGGAAAACATAAAAAATAATAATAACAAAAATGATTCTAAACTTTTATGATTCATTAATGAGCCTTTAGGTTTTTTTTGTGTTGATGACCCTATGTTGTTTAATCATAACCGCCAAGGTATCTATAGATATAAAATCATACGACAAATAAGCACTCTGGGATCTAATGCTACAAAGCTTACAATAGGTTGATTAATATTATATGTATATATGATACTCAATTCATACCAAGTCAGCTTGAAAACAGGACATACTGAAGCAGGTTTCTATGTTATTTTTGAGTGAAATATTTTGTTTCCAAATTTATACATGTTTATATTTCAGATCATTCAAGCACGACATGGTAAATTGGCACATATTATATACTCCATACAAGCACTTCTTGTAAACATGGTCATAATTGCCTCTCTAGTCGTTGCTGGTACTGCGACGATAAAATCAGTGACGAAAGATGCTTCAGATGAGTTTTGCACTTTAGTCATCGCCACTCTTTTTGGATGTTATTCTTTCATCGGTGGATTGGGAACGACGTTCTATGTCTCATACTTTAATACTGTTTCTATATATGTCTGCCTCACAATCATCATTGTTAATATCTTCTATAACTCCGACAATGGATATTCATTTGACAGTGTCTACAATAAACTAACCAACGCAACACTAATGAATAAGGTAGTGGACGGGAATTTAACAAACACGAAAATAGTGACCGGAATAGAAGGGAATCTCGGGAGTAGCTATTTCACGTTTGTATCTGAGACAGGTTTGATTTATGCACTTGTTGGTTTAGTTTTGACATCATCCATTACATATTGTGACCAGGCATCTTGGCAAAGTAGAATAGCAGCCAAACCCATGCAAGGAGTGACCGGTTTCTTTCTAGCCGCTTTGATGTGGTTTGCCATTCCATCATCTATTGCAGTAACAACTGGCATGACTTTTTTGTCCACTGTAGATGAGAGGGGATGCTTTCCGCTAAGTGAGGAACAGGTCGAACAAGGTAAGTTTAACAACATTATTGATCGATATTATGAACATAGATTTATTTTATCAAAGGAAGATAACTCTAATGTCTAATTTGATGTATCACCTGACGTCGCTAGATACTTAAACGACTGTTTCACAATTCCTGATATTTGATATCATCACTTTTGATGCTTTAAACGTACTGTTAATTTATTTAACTTTATTTTCACAGAGTGTTACTTTCGGGAATCGGGTCAACATGTTTTATTTTTGCGTTTTTCTAGTCACTGATCCATTCTGTCCTGAAGAACGCATTTACGGAAGGGGAAACCTTCCAGATAATAACGTTATAGCAATATAAGCTAAAATTAAACCACTCCAAAAAATTTCCCCACTTTGAAAAATACTTGTTTTTATTTCTATGATTTTCTACCCTATTTTAATATATTGACAGAATGAAACTGAATAAAAAAAACCCAAAAAAAAACAAACAAACCAAACAGTTTAGAGCCTCGGTAACATATAAAATATACATACGAAAAATATTAATGTTATTGTCCACAGTGGCGTGTATTTAAAGTAACGGGTATCAGACATCGGCGAAAACGCTTGAAATTTCTCTAAAAGTTGTCATATTAAAACAATTTCAACACTTAAAAAAGACTTGCCAAACTACTATATTTAGATAAATTACGCTACGATAAGGGTAAAAATAATGTATTCTTATTTTAGGTCTGGTGACACCTTTTATTGCCAAGAAGGTCCTCGGTGACTCGGGGAGTTATCTGATCCTAATAATGGTTGGTATGGCGCTCATGTCGACAGGTGCAGCGGAAGTAATGGCAGTTTCCTCGATTATTGTTTACGATATATATGCTGCCCATATCGCACCATTTCGGTAAGTAAGCTAGTTAAAAGAAAACATCTTGAAAATTCATTAATGAATACCGATGACATCTATTAAATTTTTAGGGCTATTTATAGATATTAATTGTCTACATAGAAAGGATAATTATGAACGAAATATCGAATCAAATCACAACTTGAAGTCTTATTTTATATAATCTGACGTATTGTGTCGTTTAATGCACTAGAAGTAGTAAAGACGCCGGTGTTATATGATTAAAATTTAGATCCTGTGACCTTTTCAAGGATCTGACATTACTATGTTCTACTTTCTGTTCTGTTAGTTACTACTTCAGACAATGCAATTTCGGCTTTCAAATTTTTAAAGTTGTGTCATTATCCGACTGAACTAGAGGACACCGAAAGGTCTTTAAAACAAAAAGTACAATGGAGCGATTTGATATCCTTTGAAACCAAAGGATTTGCATTTTAAACAGATTAATAAACGGTGTTGCTAAGATGTCACAACAGCTTAAGTTACAATACCAATGAATTCACGCTACAAAAATACATTTAGATAGGGTTAGGCATTGAGAAACGAACCTTTACTTTACCAACGACAACAAACCATAACTTATTTTTGTCTAATTTAGTTGATGAATATGTCTGTTGTTTATACATATTTAATTGCCATCCACGTGCAAGACCTTCATAGGTAGTCAAGGTCGTTAAACACCCCGCAGTAGTATAATTGCCATTTGAAATGATCATGTTGATTGTTTTTCGTGTTTTTTTTTCCAATCTTCTGGAATTTCAACCATTCCACACTGCTTATTGTTACTCTTAGTAGTATAAATATGGAAAAAGTTCAATAAAAAAAAATCAAAACAACAGGTAAAATTTTGGAAACAACTGCTTAGACTGATTGCTCAGATCACCCCAGTTTGTGTTGCTCAGTTTTTAATTTTCTTTTGTTTTTATTTGTATGCTATTGTTTGTCTTTTGGTCTTTTCTTTTGCCATGACGTTGTCACTTTGTTATCGACTTATGAGTTTGATGTCCCTTTGGTATCTCTCTTATAACCAAAACAAATTACTTCAAAACAAACTGGAAAGTTCAGTATAAGCCAACCAACCGTCCTCACGAAAACTTATTTAAACTAACATTTACAGGAGAGATATGATGTATGGTCTATGTATATTATGTGGAAGAATAAAGAGCGACGACGAATCCCATGGCAATAGTCCCGTCAATTCTCATGGCTGCCAATGCCCGGATGCTCTGACTTGTGAACACTGCAAGGAAAAAGAAACAGATATTAAATGCGAGGACGACAAATATGTCGTACACAGGTAAGATATGAATACTGGCAAATAAATTATAATGGCAAAGACGACATCACGAATGCTTACATAATGAATACGTAATAACAACGACAAGTAGATTTCCCCCTTAATTTGATTGTTTTCCACTTTGTCAGTTGTTTTAAAGGTATGATTTACAAATTTATACAAAAAGTTTTAGGGAAACGGCAATAAAACAAAGCTATCTTGAAGTTGTCAAAGAGTCTTGAATAATAAGCAAGTGCCTATTCTACATCTCAATTAGACATTAATTATAGTATTAATCAACCAAAAACAGTCGTTTTTCGTTTACATTTGAATGAAACGAGCTGTAACCATGTCTGGTTTCTTTATAGTTGGTTATATGGTATGGGTTTTATTCATTTTTGAAGGCCGTACGATGATCTTTAATTACTTATATCCACGTCATTTAGACTCTGGTTATTAGTTGTCCCATTGGCAATCATTCTAAATCTTCTTATATTATAAGGCTTATTGCTGCATTTAGTATATCTGTGGAATAGGATTGCTACAACATTGATCATGTATTGAACAGTATTCTTTCATAATGTGAAAACATAATACCATTTTAGGAAATATCTGTGTCCGTTTCATGGAAGATTTAGAGTTTATCAAGACAGACTTTTCAATTACAAAAACTGGTGCATATTATGGATATCGTTGGCTATTGTTCCATTAGGACTTGTCGTTATAGAAACTGGTATAGATTTGAATTGGGCTATGTTGACTGGATCAGTTTTTACGATCCCAGGACTACCAGGATTAGTCCTAACGATATTCTGGGCGAAATCGACATGGTTGTCAGTAATTTTAGGTAAGATCCTTTCTGTTAACTAACCTAAAGAAATTATACTCTTTGGAAATATCAATCCAGCTTATGTTTGATATACCTATAAAAGAACGCAACCCAACGACATACATAATCATAGATATCTAGAGGTGAACATCCAGCCGTCACGTTAGATTGATGGCCGTTTATACAATATGTCAAACTCTAAAGCGTCACAAGTTGAAAACAGCTGTGAATGTATTAAACAGAAAAGATCTGGCCCCTTACTTATTGTCACAAAAACCTAGTATGTCTGTTTGGGTGCTCGTCCAATTATATAAAAAGAACAAAACTATAAACAACTGTCATACTTTGGATAGCTATAAAACTATTTTTAACCCATCATTTCCTTTCGGATAATGCCTGTATAAAGTCAGGAATATGACAGTTGTTTTTTTTATTTCTTCCGCTGGTTGGTATCAGTTTTTATGGACTTCCCCTTTTTGTATGTACTTTGGAGTTCGGTATGCCATAATTGTTACCATTATAAAAAATGAATCAAATTTTATGCTTCACAAGCGGTGTTCTTTATTTATCTCCACCAGGAACGCTCAAAGCTGATATTTTTAAAGCCAAGGATGTATAAGAACCGAAACAGTTGAAGAGCTATATGACCAAAAAAGGACATAAAAATAAAAGTCAAATTAATCTAAGGTCAACTCTGCCTGAGGAAGTTGAAACCTGAGTTTTTTTTCTAAATTTACAATTTGACAATTGAAGATAGGTTGTCATATATCATGTCACTACCGAGATAATGATACCTGCAGGGCTATCGCATAAATATTCCTACTACAAATAAAACATATGACATAAAACAACACCTGACATTGCAGTCAAATCAGTATTGTTCAGTAGTTTTATAGACAATTCGGTATGATGTTGATGTGCAGAGATAAATAACAACTATTGAACAGTCTTGCCATATATTAAAAAGATTATCTGCTAGGGAATTGTCTGAATAATAGTGGATACATATTTCAGTTTGGCATATACGCGTTTTGTCTATAACTGTAGATTCTAATATAAAAACGGTTATAAACATCCTTTTTCTCGATGTTATACAATGAATTGTACTTAATCTGACTTTTGAAACTTTTTCATAAGAAATCTAGGATTCTTATATATATCCAACTGTACTCTATATTAATCTAGTTTTATATATATATATGTTTGTATACGTAACAGGAAGTTTGACAGGATTAGTTGGGGGATTTTCAACACTAATAGCTATGGCATCACGAGAAGAAGGAGGCCTGGATAGTTTTGTGAAAAATACAGCAATGCCACATCCTGTTTTAGCCGGTGGGTGTGCAAGTTTATTCGGTAGTCTTTTAGTCAACGTGCTTGTATCTCTTTGTACACATAACATACAAAACGAAGAGGATCGCCTACTTGAATGGAAAAAACTACGGGCAATTGACAATCCGCTGCATCCATGGACGGAGTTCTATAGAGAGGATTTGCCGGAAGTTGCTGCCCATGAAAAACCAACGAAGAAACAACTGTCTTCGATTTTTAGACCTGCTAAGTACGTTTCTTACATCTTTGGTGGAATATTTTTGTGCATTTTTGTTTTTATAATACCAGCTGTAATGACCAGTTTAAAAATATTTTCTTTCGATGATTTTCATGTTTGGACCATGAGCTTACATGTATGGTGTTTTATTATGGCTGCGATCATTGCTGTATTAACTCCAGTTGAGGAAATCCTTCAGATTGTAGCCGCTTTACAAGGTGTCCAGTACGGCACAGATGTGTAAAATGAACTTAAAAACATAGGTAATGAATACACGAATAAAACATGTGTAGTTATAAGATCGGAGATAAAAAAAAAATCTTCGTTTTACAACATAAACAAACTAAACCGAATAGATATTCAATCGACACAAGACTATGGACTGAATGCCGAAACTAGTGCAAATAGAAAAACACTCGATAGAAGTTACTTTAACAATGTTGTTACTTTAACAATGTTTACTTTTGAAGGACACTTTAATGTACTTGGTGAATTATCTTAATCATTTTAGGAAATAAAAACTCAATGTAAGGTTAATTTATACACATTTTGTTTGTGAAAAATGAAATACAACAGATTACGAACCAATAAGAAAAAATATCAATGGTATATTTAAAGTTTTCTCTCTAGAATTAAATGAATAGCCAGTTCATATTATAAAGTCGACTTAAAAATAACAGAATGACCACTAGTATTCCAAACATTTATAATCGAGAGTATGAAAAGTGAAGATAAAAATCGAAAAATACGATCATGGCTGTTTCATGGCTTGCAACAGCATTTTTCAAAATAAAACGACTTGATAGTCTATCATTATATTCGTTCCGGTTGATTGTACACAATAATGTGTTTAGAAGTAGATGTATTTATATAAATGTTGTGATAGCAAATACTTTTTTCTTAATAAATCGAATTCAAAATTTCTACATGAATTGTTTTGACGCCTAATTCGAAAATTTATTGTCATGTGACGTATGTCTTATAGTTTGTGTCCTTGATGTTTATATTGTATTACTGTATACCTACATGATTCTAGTAAATGACAGATGTTTGTTAGGAACACAATTTAAACATTGCATGAACAGAAGCAAATTTGAGCATACACCATTGCCATGTCAACCAAACAGCAGAAACTACAACGCCTTATGTTTTCAAGACCGGTATTTTTGTAGATGTTACTTTAGTGCCTGTTTTTTTGTATATATTTCGACCTCAATGAAATATGCATAAGTATTTTACAATAAGATACAACAAACGTTCAGTGGGGTTCCATCAAATGTAAAGCGCATTTTTCTCGAAAAATCTAAATCGCAAAGAAAAAATTAAATGTTCTCTGAACATTGTCCCCTTTTATTCTACATATTACATGGAGTTTGAACACCCAAGATCCCTTTGGTATGATCATCTCTCTTTTATCCTTCTTAAACCTTAAAATTTAAGGCAGTAACGAATAGTCAGTTCATACTTTATTATATTGACCAAATGTAGATATATAAAAATCACCTAAGAAAAGAATTATGTATTTCACTGTATATTTCGGAAATCAAAAAATTTTCGGCGTACCCTCTAGTGTCCCTTTTGAGAATATTTCAGATTCATTGATCTATCACATGAGAAGTATATCATTCACAAAGATGATAAGTTATGGACAAATGTGCTACAACAAAAAATGAAAACAGTACGTTATAAATTTCGTGCTTCCAAAGCACTTTTTTGGATTTTCTTCATCAGGAACACCAAAAGCTTAGAATTTGATGGCCAAGGATGCCCTGAATAAAAAAATAGCCATATCCTTTAAAGGTCAATTTTGCCTGAGGGAGTCAAAGTAGGTACCAGGAATGCTCCAGGTACCGCGGTGTGATTTACTTCTATTTGAATGCAACAGACAAGAACATATGAATCACCTACATTAAAATAATAATGCATCTTTCGAATTATATTATGTGTTGTCTCTTTTTAAGGAATGACCCTAATATTTTTTTGTCTTAATTTTAAATTCCAATTTTAAGGAGTAAATCATGAAAAAAGTTGATAACGTCACGGTCACATGACAAAATGATGTATATGAGCTGATAGACAAAAAAAAATTCAGTCAATTAGAAGACGTGTTACATTTAAAATTAAATTATATGTTTTTAAATCAAAGTCTAATCTTCCACTTTATAAAATGTATATGACCTCAAAATTGTTTGAATTCAGGCACCACGAAGTGATTCAATAGAGACAAAACGCGTCTGGTGTACAACATGGTAAGTCTGGAATCCTTCTAACACTGAGAATATTATTGCTTTCAAATACAATGTCAAGATTTTGTTATTAGATGTATTTACATTTTCACAGTCCTACACATTCATTTGAGGTCTCGGAGACTTCCGGGGAACCTGATATCCTCCCTTGGTTTTGAATTGCTTGCGTGCGTGCCCTCTAGCTTAATGTTAAATATTTTGTAGACTTTGTTGGTATTTAGTCGATTTATCATTGAGATTGTCTTCTGACTATTTTTTTACAATAAATTAGAATCAAACTTAAACAGTCCACCTTATTCGTGAACGAAACCGTATTACTTTAATATAATTGTCAATGTCCTTTAAATCGACAGGTTGATGGAGTTTGATTTAAAAAATACTTTATTTTTACCTTAAATATACAAACATTTCCAGCTTGTATGCTGGATGGCAAAACATCATTTAAATTTATATTAATTTATATAAATCAGATTTTATCTTTAAATCAATGGCGATAGAAACTTGCTTATCGTTGACTTCGTTATTGAGCTTCATTGTAACGAAGCAGTTCTACTACCCAACTAGGAAAATAACCTGTTTCAAGTTACAATTATAGACTTAAATTTATGTTGCTGTAAGGGCTACAGAAACACATTTTCTTTGAACACAAACGTAAAACTTTACAAAGTGCTGTTTAGGAAAAGAAATCATTAATGTTCTAAACGTCTGTGTTTGCCATTACTTTGTCAGTTTTTCGACTCATGGTTTTGAATATCCCTTTGATATTTTTCACCTCTCCTTTATAACAGCTAATTTCAGTATTTTTTGTTTTCGACATTAACGTTATAAGTATTAAATCCCCCTTTTAAAAGTATTGTTACGAACATCTGTCGATAAAGTTGGCAAGAAAGGGTGTTCCAATGTATGACACATAATAACAACACGCTAATTAATAAAACCAGCTAAACAACGGTTTTATTTCTGTTCTTCATATCAAAGTCACAGTGAAATAAATAGGGTTTTAATTCCAAATTTAAAAACATGAGATTTAACTTTCTTATATCATTGAAGTAGTGTATGTTGTACATTTTCATAATACTCTACTAAATAGATTTGTTGCAAAATTCTAATACAGCAAACATATTTAGTAACCATAGGCACGGTCAACCAAGGACAAAGGTTTCAATATATTTCGTATGTATTAGTAATAATATGAAATGATAAAGTAAAAATAAATAATTGAAGGTAGTGTCAACCTTTCGTTTATTTATCTTTCCCTATTTGTTAAGCTAAATTCTGTTACTTTCAATACATTTGGCTATTGAAGTTCGTAGTAATTAAAAAGTAAAGCTTATTTTTGGATATATATATGCTATATAATACAAATAGATCAAATTCCGGAATACAAAAAATTAAAATGACGACACCACGGGCAACTATTAAAAATAAATCAAAAGACTGAGCAACACGAATCCCACCCTGCAAACTCTGAGAAATAGAAATGTTCAATGTTTGGCGAAAGACGCTGCTTGTCATGTTTGTTAAAGCTCATATATTTTGGATCGAGTTATAATGAAAAAAATTAATAAAAACAAAACAACCACATATAATTTGATAATTTTTCAATTAACATCAGACACGGTGAAAAAAGCAGGCCATACGAGTTTTGTGTTAAAAGAGTTTCAGACGTTGCTATGCAGATATATTCTTCACGTACACATTTAAATGTCTTTTCAACTGGATGTTATTGTGGATGATCCGTTGAAATATTTTTCTAACTCGCCAATGATCGGTATTGATAAGGTATTATTCCAAAAAGGTTCAGGAAGAATAATCAAAATAAAATCAATTGATATACAGAAAGTTTGAATGGAAACAATATCAATGAACCTTATTCCGATATAGACAGTCATTGTACGTACATCGAAAAGAGCGTGCATGACAAAATAAAATGTGACGACCGATATTCAGATCTCTCATAAAAAAGTAGAATAACATCTCAAAGGATCATCTCTTTGTCAACACATATACTTTATTTTATATTTTATTTTGTTTTACTGGAATAGACATACATCTTCTATCCTTTTATTTAGACAATGCAATATTTTTGTTTTGAAAGTAATGACAGACCGTTTTTGTTTTGGAAAACTAAGTTTTGTAAAACAAGACCACATGTTGGAAATTTATACTGTTTTTTTTATCGATTTGCAGTGACATTAACATATAGATATAGCTCTTCATTTACAAGTTTAACATGTGTAAGCACTTAACCAATTCGCTCAGCTAATACACTGGTGCTCCAACGTAGGAGAATATATATGTCACTGACTATTTTTAAAACAGACGTTAATAATTGTTACAAAGATGTTGTGCTGTAGAAGTGAACAAAAACGAGTAAATAAACAAATCGAGAAGCGAATAAAAAAGGACAAAGACGACTTAAAGAAAGAGGTCAAAGTTCTATTGTTAGGTAAGTTTAAACTTTAGATTCAAATCAAGGTAGGTTGCTTATTAATTACAGAACATATGGATTATAAAGACAAACGTTAAACACACTAGTATTAAAAAACGTACACATCGATTACTCATAGTTTATCTATGAATATGTTGGTAAGGTGAAGGGCTGTCGGCATAGGTAAACAGTTATAGTTTGATAAAAATAGAATAATCGATCCGCCAGAACTAAACTATTGTAAATAAAAGAAACAAAAACTTATGATAATTGTAATGAAACTTGTATCGATTGTCTCAATATTGTTTACAGTTTGGCTATTTTATTAATTCAAAAATCTTTCATCATTTGCTGAATAACTAAGTGCAACAATTTTAAACATACGTTATTAACCATTGCAAGGATGTTTTGCTGTAGAAGTAAACAAAAACAAGTAAATAAATAAATAAATCGAAAAGCGAACAAAGAAGGCCAAAGACGACTTCGAGAAAGAGTTCAAAGTAACATTGTTAGATAAGTTTAAACATTAGACTCAAATCAAGGTAGCTTGCTTATTAATGAAAGGACATAAGGGTTATAAAGACAAACGTTAAACACACTAGTACTAAAAAATGTACACATCGATTACTCATAGTTTATCTATAAATATATGTACGTTCAAAATCGGTGTATGGTAAAGGGCTGTCGGTATAGGTAAACAGTTATAGTTTGATAAAAATAGAATAATCGATCCGCTAGAACTAAACTATTGTAAATAAAAGAAACAAAAACTTATGATAATTATAATAATATTTGTATCAATTGTATCAATATTGTTTACAGTTTTGACTATTTCATTACTTTAAAAATCTTTAATCATTTGCTGTTTCACTAAGTGCAACAATAAATCATTTCTTGCAATGGCTAACATCACGAAAGAAATGGTTTTCGATTGGGATCGTGTTTTTTATTCGAGTGAATTGGTCGAGTTGTACTGACTGTATATTATGAAAATGTAAACAAACAGAAATATTTCTCTGGTAAAACATGAAACCGAAAAAAATTTGAAATAGATATAAAAGCTATTTCATTATTTGTGATATAAAGTTAGTATCAACCACATTATTTGAAGTTATACAAGTTATAGTTATCCCTGGAATGCTTTATTTCCATCATGTGATACAAAGCTATTCACGGTACAATGAACAAATCAAACAATTGCATCCACATACTCTATGTATTATTATGTTACAGACACTTACAGAAATACTTGTATTTTGTTGAATTCGTCATTTGGAGATGGCATTATGTTTTATATGCGGTTTTTTTTCGAGAACTGTCCCGTTATTTTCGAATTATAGTGTTTAGGTTTTATCGATATATCTACATGTCAAAATGTGATATATATATATATATCAAGAATTTATGTTTCAACCAAAACTAAAATTTCAAATACTGTACTTCTACAAACAAAAACGATAATCACATACTTCCCCTAAACATTTTGTTTAAACCACTATGATAATTTTATTTGTAAATTAGCAAATATTTCCTGAGTTGTCCTGAACATGCACGTAGTATTAAAAACTGGACGTTGATTTTTGACAAAAACGTAGAATAATATATTTTAAGATGATTAAAGTTACTTTGTTTATCTATCCAGCAATGTGAAGATGAACCTGGTCTGGCATATGTAAAAAATGGTCGTGTGGTAAGAACTGACCTTGATATTTCGTAAATTTAATTATTTACTAGTTCACATAGTCATATACAATAGATTCATTTATTTTTATGGGTACTAATTTTCGTGTATGGAGGAAAAATCTAAATTAATTTTGGCAAAAATTCCATAATAGTCTATAGAAAATTTGTACTTCATTTAACATTTAAATTCGTGGTTCATTTACACCCACAAAATCCATGAAAATTGGTATCCCACGAATAATGATGTATTCACAGTATGACAATAGACTACACAGGAACTTCATATTTGCATATGCTATTAATACAAGCTTAGGACAACAGAATAGACTAAGACAATATGATAGAATTGGATATTCCTGGTGTTTTTTTTATGATATACAAAGGTACAAGTTTTCTATGAACGAAAGAAGCTACCAAGTGCCCATGAAAGTTGGAAATAAATTATTTAGAAACAATCAAAGAACTCAAATTGACATATTCATGCAGTTTTGGTATTTGATAACAGTTACAATCATCAATTATTCCTGGTTTTACTAGTGAAGTAGGAATTGCTGACTTTTCTGGAGCACATGTGGAGCACATGAGTTCACCCCTGTTTTTTTGTAGGATTCGTGTTGTTCAGTCTAAAGTGTTCTGTATGTGTTGTTATTATTGTTTCTCTTATTGTAGTCTGTCGTTTTAGATATTATGTTGTCGCTTAAGTCTAATGGTTTTTATTGGACTATTCATCCGAACCATTTTGGTGCTATTTTCGTTACTTTGGGATTTCATTCAAGCTCATAAGTGATTTGGTGTATTGTGTATTTTTGAAATCTAAATATGGTGTAAGTATAGGTTTCATGACGAGTGAGAATTGGATATCGCTTGATATCAACTCGAGTTATTTAATTTCAATATAATAATAAACGAGCTTTCGCCGGGTTTATAATTACTATTTAAATTAAATGACGAGAGTTGATATCAAGCGATATTAAATTCCCACAAGTTGTTGAACCAATTTCTGTTTCTCTTATGGTCAACACTCTCATTGTATTAAATAAAAAAATCAGCGAATCGTTGAAACTTTTTGTACGCTTCGGAATGTAATAAAATTTGATAAAAAAAAAACTTTTCAAATGAAAGTGCGCGTGTTTTGTATATTTTGGAAGAAATCACAGATGTCCGTTGCCATGGACGAAATGTACATCGCCTTAACCTTTGAACGTCATCAATGACCTAACGAATAGACAAATGAAATGTTGTAATTATCGTCTCATGATGCTGGATAAGCCATTCAAATTAACGTATTTTGTGTTTCACTGTTTCGTATCACATCCCATGATGTGTGATACGAAAAATATCTCTTCATGAAAGATATAGATAATAGGCCACAACATAGAGAGAATTTATCTTTATATGTACGATAAATAAAATAAAGGGAACATACAAACCACAAGCTATAATAGAGGAAAGATAAAATATCTGATTGAGAAAATGAGTTGAATTAACCGTTATGGTTCCATAATATTGCGAGGTTATTGTACTATGTACTCACAAAAATTTGGCATTACATAGATAAGGGTTACCATTGATGATCATTCTTGATATATATGTTTTGAAGGTCTTGATGAATATGTTATTGTCCTTAATAAACAAAATCAACTTAAAAACTGCAATATAAAGGGAAGTCAGTTTTAAAGGTCCCGATTGCCTTAAATCCTGGTCATACTTCTTTAAAAAAATAAACCTACACAAGGTTTTACAACAACCCCAGTAAATATCATAGTAGTACTTGAAAAAAAAACATGGATGATGTAATAAACTTCAATTTTAATGAAACAGCACACAATTATGCTTAGTTTGTGTTCAAAACAAGAATTCAAAAAGGAAAAGTATGAAGCATTGGATAAAACTTGACTCCTTACTCTTTACGATGTACGACTAAAACTAAAGCTACAGTAGTGTGTTAAAATCTCGTTAATCGATTAACAAAGTCAAATGAAGGCAATAAAGAAAATAAAGTTAACCGATTTAATTGGATGTTATGTCATACAAAAACAAATCCCGGTCTAAACCCTATAAGAAGTGGAGAAAATATACCCCAACTGTACACTAGACCTACTGTGAACATGCCATGAAATATGTATCTTCAAGAAAGTGTTTTCAAAACAAGAATTACCTCGGAAAGATCTGTTTCAAAATGTGAATTAAAACTGATATGGAGGATTTATATAGCGATAACTTATTTTCAAGGGACACACCAGAGTGGTAAAAGCACACTTCTACGACAGTTGAGGATTATCCATGGAGTTGGTTACTCTGACGATGAGAAGAGAAGTTTTACTGCACATATATACAATCAGATTGTTCAGGCAATTCAAGACTTGGTCTTTGAAATGGATTTACTAAAAATACATTACAAGACCCCTGCAAATGAGGTAAAGTCTCAATAACTAGTTATATAGTTGTATATTTTCTTTGCTCCTAATAGTGTTGATGCTTCTATCAAATCATATTATCTTGCAATTGTGTTTTCGAGATCGAGATCGAGAGAGAGAGAGAGAAAGAGAGTTAAATCCAATCTTGAAAATCGACTTAATTTCTAGAACTGTTAAAAAGTCACTGGTTTGACAGTTCATTGTGAAGTCAACAACTTATTAATTGCAAGCTTTGAGAGGGTAGTCCTTAGTAACCCCAAAAGTTTCCTCTGGTATATTTTATCTTATATTGACACCATTGAAATAGTGAGGTCTATGCATCATCTGCCAGTCTTGATAAAATTCACCGTTGCATTTTATGTTTAGGTTGTATCGAATATGATCCGTTTTTTGTGTACCCGAAAAAACGACCGAAAACACCAGTAGGAATATAAAATTGTCTGCTTTTCACATTTTCTCATTAAGAATAGATATGACTGTTACACGTGAGATCACCCCCAGTTTTTGGTGGGGTTCGTGTTGCTTAGTCTTTAGTTTTTTATGTTGTGTCATCTGTACTATTACGCGAGAAAGAAGACGTAGGTACTCTTTCCGAATGGATTAAGGCTGTGAGGTCGTTGATACAAATCCGAATTAAGAAACTAAATGGGTCTATCAATACCCACGCTACGTCAATTTTTAAAAATCCAAATGTTGCAAAACACTTGTCCTACCTCCATGACAAATATGTTGTTGTCCCCACAGATAAAGCCCCAAACAACATCGTTTTTGTGTGTAAATATCAATACATAAACTGCTTGATAAATGAATTAGGTATTGACAATTCATTTGGAAACTCAACATATACCCTCACGACACTTACCAAAGAGGAAATCCTGGATAATCATAGGTCTGTTCTATGTTCCTTTGGAATTTCAACCAAAGATGAAAAACTGGATCTTCCATCACTGTATTGGATACATAAACTACATAAGTGTCCTTACAAACAAAGGTATATTGCTGGGTCTTACAAGTGCTCCACGAAACCTCTTTCTAAATTATTAACATCTATTTTATCAGCAATCAAAGCCGGGTTCCAAAGTTATTGTGAAAATGCCTATTCTAGAGGTGGCGTGAATCAGATGTGGATACTAAAAAATTCCAAAAATCTTTTAGAGTACATACAATCTAAGACTCTCTCATCTTGTTATAGTATTAAAACATTTGACTTTTCTACACTTTACACAAGTATTCCCCATTCCAAATTAAAAGATAAATTGAAAGAGTTTGTATTACTTTGCTTCATTAAAAAGAATGGCGAACGTAGATACAAGTATCATGTCTTGGGGAGGGATAAATCTTACTTTGTAAAGAATCACTCTGATTCAAACAAAACATTTTCTGAAACTGACATTATCAAGATGCTTGATTTCTTGATTGACAACATATTTGTTACGTTTGGAGGACGTGTATTTCAACAGACTTTCGTAATTCCAATGGAAACCAATAGTGCCCCTCTTCTTGCCGACTTGTTTCTTTATTATTATGAGGCTGACTTCATACAGGAACTTCTTAGGAAGAAAGATAAGAAGTTAGCAAAATCCTTTAATTTTACGTTCCTCTATATAGATGATGTTCTCTCACTAAATCATACAACATTTGGTGACTATGTTGAACGAATCTATCCCATCGAACTAGGGATAAAGAATTCTACAGATACAGTTAAGTCTGCCTCATATCTTGACTTACATCTAGAAATTGACAATGAGGGTCGGTTGAAAACAAAACTTTACGACAAAAGAGATGATTTCAGCTTCCCAATTGTGAACTTTCCATTTCTATGTAGCAACATTTCAACAGCGCCTGCATACGGAGTATATATCTCCCAATTGATACGATATTCCCGGGCTTGTATTTCCAATCATGATTTCCTTGATAGAGGATTGCTGCTCACAATGAAGCTATTAAACCAAGAGTTCCAAATGGTGAAGTTGAAATCATCCCTTCGTAAATTTTTGGTTGACCGTTATGGAATAACCGTTTCACAGATGATATCGGATATGTTCCTTATGTGGTAACTACAATACCCTTCCGTTTTCACGAATGTGACCTACCGAATTAGACTATTTACCGGATGTGTAATAACATAAGCAACACTACGGGTGCTACATGTGGAGCAGGATCTGCCTACCCTTCCGGAGCACCTGAGATCACCCCCAATTTTTGGTGGGGTTCGTGTTGCCTAGTCTTTAGTTTTCTATGTTGTGTCATCTGTACTATTATTTGTCTATTTGTCTTTTTATTTTTGGCCATGGCAGTGTCAGTTTGTTTTCGATCTATGAGTTTGAATGTCCCTCTGTTATCTTTCGTCCCTCTTTTACAATGCATAGTAGAAACATATTTCAAAGTGAATCTGAAATGTCATTGTAATATGTGTAGCCTGAATGTAAATAAATGGTTTAAATTTATAAATAGGGCGAACATTCTGGCCAGCTGAGATTACATTTTTATTTTTCAAACCTTTTCAGCAAAAATTGTTGTTTAATTCCGGCAAAAAATGCTTACAAAATTATTGTTTATTAACTTTGAAAATCACAAACTTTTATTGAACTCAACTGTTGAAATCTTTAAACAAGTTGGCTTACAGGAAAAAGAAAAAAGAATAATTTTAGACAACATTCATTTTATCTCTACAAAACCATGAAAACCTTCTACAGTTTCTCTTGGCATTTTTTTGTGCTTGAGTGAAAAGTGTATTGTCCCAATACTAGATTTAGTCAAGTTTATCCGGAAAAAAAGTAATGTTCAGTATTGGACGGAAACCCTTTAGACGAATTAACATAACAACATTATAATACGTAATGTTAGTTTCTCTCCCCAGACTACAAATGCCCCTGTCATCAGTAAGAAGACACTACAACAATTCAATGTTTTGACAGTATGCCATTATCTTAATACTATCTTTGTGTTAATGTCAAATATCTTAAAACATGAGCTTGCACTGGGATGGATGTTCAGGTCATAACTTCTAGAATATTGTCGTCTGTATTTTAAAACCAAAGACATACAGTTAAGTACCTTATAACTTCATTATCCAATTCATTTTTTTCCGAAACCTTCCAAAAGTTTATCTAAATGATGTCAAGACACTATAGTCGTTCCAAAAACTCCTCAGTTGATAGTTTTTTTTATTTTACATCATTTCATGTATTACTGGTAATTTCCTTTTTACAGCTTTGCATTATTCACGATTTAAAAAAAAACGTCTGTCGTATTAAATTATAAGCCTGGTACCTTTTGATAGCTATTATTTTTGTGTCTCTGTCCTGTATGTTCTCCCATTTATTTGTATTGTAGTCCTGTCATGTAATCTTGTCATTTAAAAGTTATATTTAACATTGCCATAAAAGCGGGAGGTTTGTCTAGCCACAAAACCAGGTTCAACCCACCATTTTTTCTTTAAATGTCCTTTACTAAGTCAGGAAATGGCCATTGTTATATTATAGTTCGTTCCTGTGTGTGTTGCATTTTAGTGTTGAGTTTCTGTTATGTCTTTGTTTTCCTCTTATATTTGATGTGTTTCCCTCAGTTATAGTTTATAACCCGGATTTGTTTTTTTCTCAATCGATTTATGAATTTCAAATAGCGGAATACTACTGTTGCCTTTATGTTTGCTCCTTAATTTAATGCTTGGTGTATAACTTGTCCAATTTTCCTAGATCTTCCTGAATCATTCCCACGGCCAAATGTAAACAACATAAATTCTTGATCACTGTTTAAATTTCTGCTACGTTAAAAAACGCACAAATGACTTTCAATGCATTTGTATTTCTCCCATACCCCAGTTCTACCCATTTTATCTGTAAAATAATCTTTATTATACTATTCGAATTTGCCATGTTAGATTATTTTGTTGATGTAGGAACATGCCAGGAAGGTAAAACAAAACGATTTTACGTGCAAACGAACAGTTGACCTGGAAGATATGGATACAATAAAGAGTTTATGGGCAGATCCGGGCATGCGAAAATGGTACGAGGAGAGTAAAAAATGCCATCTGACAGATTCACAGCGGTAGTAAGTTATTCTTTGCTATGGGTGTTTTTGACCAGCAGTTCAAAAACTATTTTATAATCGTTTACATACCATGTGATGTTCATGTGTTTTTTTCATACTTGTGTGGTGTTCTCTCTTTTTGTTGTTGTTTAAGGGGAGGTTCATCCATGCAACAATCGTTGAGGTATGACTCCATTTCAAAATATTAATCAGTTTTTTTGTGGATATCTGTCTAGAAGTAGAACTCATTCAATCATGGATAAAACGTTTCCGTTCCAGAGATTTGCTTGATGTTATTTTAAGTTTTTTCATTGTCAGTTTAACAAGACGTTTGAAATCAGTGTATTTACCATCTGATTTCAGCTTTATGGATCATATCGACCGAATTACAGAATCAAACTATCTACCCACTTTACATGATATTCTGCACTGCACTGTTGATTTGCATGGGATAACAGAGCATCTTTATACTATAGGTGGTATTTTACACAGGTAATTAGTCAAATAGTTGATAGCTGTTTATAGCTGTATAGTTCGTTGATATACGATTCTTCTACGTTGATGTTTAAAATACAAACACATGCTTTGAATATGTGATACAAGTACCATTATGGAAACAATGAATACAATTCTTAAAAACAGGACCAACTGCAATAAAGTATATTAAATGAAATGAATAATAATAATTAAAAAAAAAATACATTAGAAGAATGAAAAAAGAAAAAAAGTCTCACGGGATCGTCAAACTCTCAATAAGTGTCCGAGAAGAAGCTGAAAATTGCCTTCAGTTGAAAACAAAAATTACTATATCAGAGACCATGACAATATCAAATCATAAATATACAAAGAATTCAAATATAACAAAAACAATCATTGAAATGATAATATAAAATACATTAAGGGATACCAACATTAAGTTGTTATAATTCTATCTTTTCAATTTTAATAGATTTATTGATATACGAGGCGCAAGGACAGAGAGACGTAAATGGATTCATTATTTTGACAATATTTCAGCCCTGATGTTTATCGTAGCTCTCAGTGATTATGACAAAATCGAAACATACAGCAATAATGAAGTAGGTTTTTGCATTTTTATCTTTTTACGAAAACTGGAAAAAATATGTGTTTGTCAAATGCAGAGATACAGTGTTTTCAATATATTCCTTTACTACACAGTTCCTACTACCCGATGTATGATGGGGCTTGTGTTAATCAGTCTTTAGTTTTCTTTGTTGTATTTTGGTAGACTGATGTTTGTCTTTCGTCGTTTTCGTTTTTTGATTTGGCGTTGTTTATGATTTCTAGTAAAATTCGAATAAAGGGTTCTTGGTTTACATACATGATATTATAGATATCAGAATTGATATATAGGGAATCACATTTTGTTATTGGTCAATTGTATATTCTGAAAGACAGTCAAGTAATATATCGTATTTTTCCGTAGTGTGGTGTACCAGGTTTAGGTTTCAAACGAAGCTGCAAACCTGTTTAAGAAAATGAATAAAATAAAAAACACCTAATAACTATCGTTTTTCAGAAGAGCATATTTGCCAATGGCATTATTTATCTGACAACCATTACAACTGTAAAGTGTTTAAGGAAGATTAACTGTATACCGCTATTTTGGATTGAAAATAGCAGTACACAATCGGCCTTTTCTTTGCTTAAATCTGCAAATATTTAGACAGTTTGGCAATTAATTTGTAAAACTGTTTGTTTAAATAAAGAAAAATAAGTGTTTAAATGCATTATTAAGTCTCTTTTAACAAATACTAAATATTTGTTTTGTTCAATTCAATTTTCCAACTTATACATATAAGGGGAGATAACTCTTATAGTAATTTTTTTGACTGGATTAATAGGGGAATTTTGATTTTTTATTTGTTGCAAAAAAACAAGTTCGGTGACACCATTTTTATTTTTCTTTTCTTAAATATAAATAAAAAGATGTGGTATGAGTGCCAATGAGACAACTATTCATCCAAGTCACACAATATTATTATTATTAAACCTATCTTAAGATCGTTTATTTCAAAATTCTATCTCCTAGATTTCTTTTTATTCACAAAAAAGTGTTTTTTCATGAATAATCTATGCAAAATTTAGGAATTTTGGACGACTTGTAGTCTTAAAGCACGGTGACCCATACTTTCGATTATATTTAAAAAAAAAAAAACATGACAAAATCTCCATTTTGACAAAGTATAAGAAAATTCTATCTGAGGAAATATATACCGATGATCCACCTTAAATCAGTTAATTTCTAATATTTTTTATTAGATATTGAGCGGACAATTTATGTGACTGTTTATTTCAAATGTATCTACCAGACTTAAAAATCAGAACGCCAGATGCGCTTTTTCATCTACAAAAGACTTATCAGTGACACTCGAATAAAGAAAGTTGAAAGGTCCAAATAAAGTACGAAGTTGAAGAGCGTTGCAGTGGTGAATGCATTTAACGATATATTATCATGTTCGTTTAGATAAGTCATCAAATTTCGTTCTTTTTTTTTGCTAAGATACATGCATGTAAACTATGCAATCAGAAATGAACTCAGTTTTTCTCACTTATAAATACTGCTTATTGTCGCGTTTGTTATTGCTACTGTCATCATGATATTGTTATTCACTTATAAAGATTACTTATTGACGAATTTGTTACTGTTACTGTCACCATGATATTGTTATTCACCTATAAATACTACTTATTAATGAATTTGTAACTGTTACTGTCATGACATTGTTATTCAATTCGGAATATCTGCTGCCCAGTTTATCACAGATATGCGCCATTATCATGGACACAATCATGTTCTTATTAACTTATTATTACACACATATTATTATCGACAATGCCGTTAGGAACATGACATATGCCATTAGTTATCAGTCAAAGTACATGTTATTTTCACAAATATTTAGAACTCTATTGACATTTTTATTTGTCATGGCGTTGTCAGTTTATTTTCGAATTATGAGTTTGAATGTCTTTTTGGTACCTTTTGCTTGTCTTTTAGGTCTTTGAATTTTTTTTTTAATTGAAAGACATTTGAAAGACTGCTATCTTAATGATAGATTCAATTCTGTTTTAGAATCGTCTAGAATTAGCTAAATCCTTTTTTAAGACAATTATTGATTATCCATGGTTCCAAAACTGTGGAATAACGCTGTTTTTGAATAAAAAAGACGTCCTAGAAGAACAAATCATGCAAACCAATATGGTGGATTACTTTCCAGAATTTAAAGGTGAGTTATTAATGCGGCAATAGTAATGTATGTTGACAGTTTGTTCACAGTTATGATAAAATCCTGCTATGCTATTCAATTAAAGAATTTAAATCATATGATAAATTACATTATTTGATTGTTGTTTTTTGCTACCATTTTTATTGGCGTAAGATTTAAGACATTTTTACAAAAAACAATGTTGTTGCTGCCATGTTCTTTTTTTATTACTATGATTCGTTCATTTGACGTATGTTGGATACTTTCTACAACATGAATAGTATTCTGGTTTATACCGACTGTTTGGGTAATGGAATAGTAGCTTATTTTATGTTTTTGTGTAAAACAAATGTTGTCCTATGAAATAATATTCCTAGGACAAAGGATGCAAGCTAAGTTTTTCTGAAGCACTTCTTTGACAAAAAAAAAAAAAAACAACAACACTGAAGATAACAAAAAAAATAATATTAAAGACTTTACTGAAATCTTTCTAGACTTTAAAACTCACACAACTTGATAAATAAAACACTTGCCTTTCAAAATATGTAATGATTTATGAATACAAACATTGTGCGTATACTGAAGCCAAACATTATTTGGTGGATGTGGCTTTCACGGTTATACCTATACTTTCGTGGAAAATATGTCAAAGAATCCAAAAACACAGTTATAATTTTCATGCCAGAGGAGTCCTCCAGGAGGAATTTTTTTCAGGGTCAGTATTCAACAATAAATTATTGTCAATGACAGTATTCCACTTTAAAATATTGTCAATGACAGTATTCGACAATAACATATTGCCAATGACAGTTTCCACTGTAAAATATTGTCTAGGACAGTATTCCACAGTAACATATTGTCAGGGACAGTACTCAACAGTAAAATATTGTTAAGGACAGTATTCAACAGTAAAATAATGTCAAGGAGAGTGTTCCACAGTAACATATTGCCAGGTGCAGTATTCCTCACTACATTGTAATTAAAAACAGTATTCTGCAGTGAAATATTGTCATTGTCTGATTCATGGACAGTACTTCACAATGAAATATTGTCCGGACTGCTTGGACAAAATTTCACAGATAAGGGATAATGACACTATTTCGTAGTGAAATACATTTTATGCGTCCGTGTATAGTCAACTTTCCCAGAGAGAATTAAAACCTTAGTTTCTTTATAATTTCTTATATGTCATGGACATTATTTAGAGTATTTCAATATGAAATATTGGCAGCCGGCAATATTGTGTGTGAAATTAAGGACAATATTCCAAAGGGGACATTTTGTTATGTTGCATTTGACTTTTGACACTTTTTCGAAAATGTCGACCTTCTTTTTACCAGCAACTGTGTTTTCCTGATGAGTACATTTTTATCCAAACCTATTGTCCCTTGTTGTGATAACATTATCAGAACCAATGCGCACTTCGACAATTGGTGTCTTTTCCGGAATGCCCGAGGTAAAATATTAAAAAATTCGAAACTTCATTCTAACGTTGAAAAGTTTATAAAACAAAACAAAAAAACATAAAAGTCAGATAAAACTGGAAAGGAATACATTATTTGATTTAAAATGATTTCATTTTTTTATACAGGATTTTTTTTTATGAAATTTATATCTGTATATTTATACCAGTACCGACGCATTTCGACTAGTAAAACCATCGGGGAATATATATCTAATGAGAACAAATGTCTACAAGTAGTAGTTATGACGGTAACACGTCCCTCAAAGAAGCACATCGCTAGTCGAGTTCATGCGATTCCATCAGTTGTGATGTTGATGTCTAATGCTATTGTCAGGCACACTCACCTATATGCTGGCAATCACATTTTATCATTTGAGGAAAAAAAGTTATCATAGAGAACTGACAAGTCGTTTCAGGAAAAGTGGAAGTTACAGTCAATTAAGTTCCGGGTCAGCCACACCTTGCCGAAACGGGGTTCGAACTCATAACATCAGTTATTACAGGCTATTGATCATTTTGAACGGAATACTTATGTTACGGCCAGAAATCAACTTAAAATTGTAGCCAACAAAAGGCAAATCAATAATAAAATTTAACAAGATTTGTTGTACAATTTTACAAGAAATATTTCACAAATAGAAATGTCAACTTAACTGTTAAAATATATGTCCGATCCTTTGTCTTTTCTTTATCCGGAATTCTTCTCTTAACTGTTCCAGAATATGTCCAATAAGTTAACAATCTAGTATGATGTAGTTAACGTAAATAAAAGTGTCAATCCAACATCTCCAGAGAACTTCTGAGAATACAAGTATATTAATGTCTGATACGTCTAATTTCGGTGTCTGTATATATAGTTGTCACGGAAACTTCTAGAACACTGTAGAAGGGAAACTCCTAGAAAATTTTAGAAACGGAAACTTCTGTAAAAGTTTAAATTACGCATCGTCGACTATGATCATTCTGGAATCGTTATGTAAGTAAAATAGAAAGTTCTAATTATTCCATCAGTATCTATGATTGTTCCAGTGATTTCTAAACTGCACAATTCTAACATTATTTTGTAAATAACTTATAAAGCCACACAAAAAAAAAATAAGGCCAAGGTAAATAATCATAATAATTACAATCTCATAACACATAGACCACCTGACCACCAAGGCCCAGCATTACAAATTATACCTGAAACTGTTCCATTCCTAAATTACATATTTTTATTATTATTTATCCATGCATGAATGTATACGCATTAAAACTTTTATTTTTGTAGGACTTAATAAAAATTCAAAAGCCGCAATAGAGTTTATTATAAAGATGTTTGTAGAGCAAAATGCTGACCCGGATCGGATCATCTATTTACACATCGTTTGTTTATTAGGTAATTAATTGTTTCAATCTAAATCTGAAAAAAGTCTACAGGGGCTTTTATTCTACACATGCCAAATCTAATTAGCAAGCCATTTCATTTTTTGACAATATCAAATTGACGAGTAAATTTGTTCATGTTAAGCAAAAAACGTTGCTGTTACTTTAAAAAAAGAACATTTATAAATCAGCTATTTTTGCAGTTTTACTTTCTATTAATACAATAAAATACATTTTCCGAAAAATCCCTATTTAATAAATTGGCAACATTGATAATAATAAATTTATAAAACAGATTGTCATTATTATTTTTGAAAACATTACTAAGGATATTTTACTTTTCATTACAGATCTAGGGAATGTAAGATTTGCTAACATTACTAAGACTATTTTAGTTTTCATTACAGATCCAGAGTGTGTAAGATTTGCTAACATTACAAAGGATTTATTACTTTTCATTACAGATCCAGAGAGTGTAAGATTTGTATTAGCAGCTATTAGAGATATGGTATTGCAGCAAAATTTAAGGAATCACAAGACTTCTACATGTTGTTGTGTTGATAAATTTTCTTTGTATTAATTCGAACAATTAGGACTAAAAGTGATATGAATAGGGATACACGTCCATGTTCAATCCCCATAGTTAAAGTTAATTTAGAATTGCAATAGAGAATATATGTGCGATGTAAAATAGCACTGTTTATTGCCTCATTTCTCCACATTAAAGATAATAATGAAGAAAAAAAAAAGCTGTAATATATTGAATAACCAACTGAAGGACTATGTATCGACAGTTACTTTCAGTGTTAAGTTAAATAAGATAGGAAGAATAAATAACATTTGTAGATACAAGTTATGTAGATATACGCAAATTGGACAGTACCCGTTGATATCAAAAACCAAAAGACATTTATAGGTCAGCACATAGTTTTATACGGGAGTCTTTACAGTATTTTAAATATCCATCTTTACTGCAATTTAAAAAATAATTGAACAAAAAAGTGTGGGTTCATCACAATGCATTCGCGTGTTTTAGTCCCTAAAAGATAATGCAGGTGAATTTTGTTTAGCTTATATTGACTTAAAAAAGAATTGCATTTTACATTGCAAAGCTTAAAATATAATATGTTTGCAATCTTTAAGCTGTTATTAGTGGCTGTTGTCATAGAGGAGAGGCGAAAGATACCAAAGGGACATTCAAACGCATAAGTCGAAAATAAACTGACAACGCCATGGCTAAGCAGATCCTGCTCGGCATATGGCACCCGTCTTGTTGCTCATGTTAAATTTAGCAAAATGGTAGTTAATATTTGATGTTAAAATCTTTCATAGCATTTCCCTAAATTATGTCATATTGTCTGAGGTGGTTTACCATTAAGTAAGAAATAGTTTGTCCCAAAAGGATATACAAGTACGTGTCATGCAAAAGTTTTATAAACGTCCGTCTAATTAAAGCAGTATATAGTATTTGAAGACATATACGGTCGTTTAATCTTTTACATTCATTAACAAGAAGAAACAAACCAAAATAAAATGGAGGCAAGCGTACTGTATATGTTGAAATCAAAAGATAAAGTACTGATTAACGAATACATGAAGAGAATGTCAAATGTTCCAAAGAATGTAAGGTACTTCGTCAAACGTTACTTTCCGTTTACTCTAATGAAGTTCAGAGCAGAGATGATATTGAAAACAAGTTGATGTCTATATTTGCGATACCAGTTTAAATAAAGTCAATTACAGACGTCTTTTGATTGAGTAAAGCCATTTCAATTGATATATTATAGTGTGTCTTTCTTTGTTGTGATGTTACACAATTGTTTCAGATAAGGGTGAAGGTTTGGTTCCATTAAAACGTTTAAACCCGCAGCAATTGTTTGCACCTGTCCTAAGTCAGGAATCGGATGTTCGGTAGTTGTCGTTTGTTGATGTGGTTCAGAAATGTTTCTCGTTTCTCGTTTTTTATATAGATTAGACCGTTGGTTTTCCCGTTTGAATGGTTTGACACTAGTAATTTTTGGGGCCCTTTATAGCTTTACTGTGCGGTGTGAACCAATGCTCCGTGTTGAAGACCGTACTTTGACCTATAATGGTTTACTTTTATATAAATAACACATAGCTGAGAGGATGATAGAGCAGATTGTTACCCCGAGAAAACATTGTCAACCGCGACAAAGCCAAGGTTGACAATGCTTTTTCGAGGGGTACCAATCTGCTCTATCACCCTCTCAGCTATGTGTTATTTAATTTATTATACTGAATGTCCTATCATTATTGTCTTTTACAGATGAATTTTATCTAAAAGTATTTTCTATGGCGTCACGTACATAACAACGTTACGGGTATTAGAAAAATCAACAGAAGTGAAGCAAGATGTTTTATTTCAAATAATAGAATTTGAGCCAAAACGTAGATCTTAAGCATTGTCTTTAATAACTTGATGTAAATTTAATATATTGTTCTTTAAATTATCGATTTGTGATTGGTCTGGACGAGAGGGTGACATTCAAAAAAATTGTCACCCGCTCAGCCATGAGATAGAGTAAATGAACACCCTTGTATTAGCCAATCAAAATATGGCATTTTAACGTGAAGTTTAATAAAATAAATTGTGACTTGGATGGAGAGTTGTCTCATTGGCACTCATACCTCATCTTCTTATAATCTATGTAATGTACATGTAAAAACTTTACCAAAAACAAAACCAAATAGTTACAATGTATATTTATACAGTCTATACAACAACATTATCGATGAGAATATATCGCCAGAATTTAATACCCTTAATGCAGTATAACTGAAAATAACATTATTTTACATTACATGCGTCCGAATCGCTATTCTGAATTTACCTTCATCTTGACTGCTAAAACATAAACCCTTAAAAGCCACGGATGTATAAATACGTAGAAACGTTCGTGTTTTAATGTTAAAAAACGAATCTACACAAATAGTTCAATTTATCTAAGGCAGTTTTCACACCAAACGTCGCGTACTGTAAACCTGTATACAGTTAGTTTCATATAATGAACACAGATTGATCATTAAATTTGGTCTCATCTGTATATCGGTTTGAATAACCTGTAAACGAGAATTATTCACACCAGTAAACTACGTGTACACGCAATTTACGTGTGCATTTCAATTGAATTAAAAAAATCTCTGTTAACTTTTGTATCAGTTAGGCACAGACCATTTCAAAAATGCTTTTTTGTGGGGAAAAGGGGGTGAGGAAATAAATTGTTAAATCCCTATTTTATTAAGAACAAAATGTATCTGTTTCAGGAGGGCTAGGGAAGTAAGAAAAATCGTTTGATTGCATTTTTTATTTGATGGTTTGATAATTTTTTGGTTGCTTAACATCCAGTTGCAAATATTTCATGCATGTTCAGGACGAGAACAAATTCACTATAAGTACAATAGGTAGGTCCTTTAATAGAGGCCGTCCGGGATGGAGATCGAGGAAATATGGACAGCCGTCGGAAATTGAGAGTATATTGAATAGGGAAAGAAATTGTGCCTTGCAATAGGTCACCTACGGACCTCTCAAAGAGTTGTTGCAAGGGTTCTTAACATGCAGAGAGCGTCAAACTCTCTCTACATGAGGCATCCGATTTAATCACGGGACCGTGCTGAATACTTAACATCCGCACACCCGAACGGACGCCCTACTTTGGCAAGGGTTTTACTGCCGATCAGAAGAAGACCTAAGTTACCATATTCATATTCCCCAGTCACCTTGGGGTGATTTTAGACATGAATATTCTAGACTGATACTTATTTACAAAAATTAACTTACCCAAGACGAGATTAAAATGAATAGTTTGTCTTACAAAATCAAGGACTTTGCAAGAAATAGCTGTGTACAAAAAGTGAAAATAATTTTTGCGCTAAATAAAAATGCCGTACTATCAACAGGTGTTAAATGCATATTCCATCAGCAAAAAATTCCGCTCCCATTATTGGTAAGTTTGATTCAATGCCAAATTAGTGAAAAAGAAAATAATGACTGAAAAGTGATAGAAACATTTTTCTTCGCAGTATGTTTCTGGCTATTCTACTTTTCAATGTTACACAGGTACGGTGTAATGAATATAGCGTTTTGATCAAACTTATTTCATTTTGCAAATAGATAAAAAAAACACACTGCGAGACCATGATTATATGAGAACTATTCTGACAAAAGCCAAGTATACAAAAACATGATTTAGATATATCGAAGCATTACCACGACGTGTACGCTTTTAACACCGAGATCTATTAAAAACTGGTCCGCATTTATCACCAGTTGCTATTTCTTTTTTGCTTGCAATAATACTTTGGTGACTCTAAAATTGAGTCACATCTTGTGAACGAAAATTGAAATAAGGAATCCAGTCATGACATACACATGAAACAACAGACCGAGTGTCTATAGTAACACTGGAACATAATCCCCTTTACACCAGATATATACATATACACCTTAGCTACCTTTTGTATGTTTTGGGGAGGGAAGTTGAAGTTATGGCTTCATGTTTAGTCATACAAGTGGGTGTTTCAGGTTTAACTCACAGTGTTCTTCTGAAAATGCCTGTAACGTGTCAGGAATATGACAGTTGTTTTTTCCTGGTTCCGTCCTTGTCTTATTCTTTAATCCTTTATACATGCTGTCTTTCTTTGCCATACGGTTTTCAATTTTAGTTAGTAATTTATACACATTTCTGTTTGGACCAGGTTTTGATAATGTTGTACAAAAAAGTAACAAATAAGGTATTTTACTGAATTTGACAAAATCTATTATGAATTACGATTATGCTTCATTGCAACGCTAAAGAGAAGACGGTGTGAATTTAAGCTATTAAGATGAATAGAAAGACATGAAATGTATACGTCAATGACAGGTACTGTATACTTGAAGGACATGTGTTTTATACATCAATGACATGCACTGTATTTGTCAGTGACATGTGCTGTATACGTCAACGCAATGTGTTTTATATGTCAATGACATGTATTTTATTCGTGAATGACATGTGATGTATACGTCGGCATATGTTGTAAACGTCAGTGACATGTGATGTTTACATCAATGACGTTTACTGTTTACGTCAATGACATGTGCTGTACACATCAATGGAAATATAAATGCGGCCTTACGATACATATAACCAGAAAACGTCTATAATAGGTTACATGTTTCATCACACGACATTTCGCTGCATAATATGTCAAAATGTTAGTCATGTCTATCCTGTATACGATGTGAAGCATTAAACAAAAACCTGGAGGGTTTTGCTAAATGTAGAAATAGAAAAATAAGGAGATGAGGTATGATTGCTTGTATTGGTGATTTTTTAGCGTATATATATAAATAGTAAGCATACTTGGTTGAGTCCGCTATAACTCTCTTTATATTCAGTCTTCACTTTTCTATGTTATGTTTTGTGTACTTTTCTAGTTTTTTTTTGTCATGGCGGTGTTGGCTTATTTTCGACTTATGAGTTTGAATGTCCCTTTGCTATCTTTCCCCTCAATTTTTGTTAGACATGTAAATACACACTATCAAGTGTTCATAACATGACGACCTAACTGAAATTTATATCTATTCAAATGGTCATTTTGACTTGGTAAAGCAATGTGATCAATGAAGTAGTGTCACTGTGGCTATTGGATGTCATCACATAATAAATCTCCCTTTTGATTGATTATAACAACTTGATTTATAACAGCAGACAAAACATAATAAAATATCAGCCGTTATTTGCATGTCAATAGTAACATAGTCATCGGGCAGTGCAAGCAGTTCCTTCTCATCCTTTGTTTATTCATAGTACGTTATCCTTTGGTGTGATGCCTTATTATTTGATGTCACCATAAAAGGGAGGGTATTGAATTGCAATTGACTACCAACTTATTATGTCCATTTAAATGTTGCATGGATGTTATCAGATGTGGTTGTTACACACCAGGAGTTATATATCTTAATAAGAAACACAAACCCTTCAAAATATAACGGTCAGAAATATAATCCAAATGAAAAATTAACGATGGACAAATTGAAATAAAATCGCTTGTACTGTGTTTTTGTAAAGTTCAAATGAATATGTTTGTCATCAACATATTCACGAAATCTTGTATTACTCGAAATCAGTACATTGTGTATTAGTCGAAGGTAAAGTTAAGGATATTATAGGCATTATAAGCCACCCTTAATTATTCTATTTGCGAAGAATCTGTTTGTTCCATGCATGTAAGATTGAGAAAAACATCGTATTAAGGTGCATATCAGTTGATTATTTTTAAAGGATCGAAAAAACCATCAAAGAAGATAAATATGCAGTAATTGACGCTTATTTTCCTTTGTATTTGTGATACATTTATTCACTCTGAATTAATAAACAATACAAATAATGCAATGTATATAGATACATTGTACAAGTCTTTATCTTATTAATCTAATTGTAACAAAACAAGTTTTTTGTATTTGCAGAAAACATATCGTCATGTAGTAACGTAAGGACAATGCAATAATAAGCCATGCGTTACATACAAATCTTTTTTAAAATGATATATTTATTAAAGAACTTTGAAAAAAAAGTAATGAATGAAAGAAGCAATGTTTTTGCTTTTGCGTTTGCTGCTGTTTATCATCTATGTAATTGTGTTTCGGCTGCGCAGGTTAGACAGAATACTGCATATAAATAAATTGTTGTCAAATGGATATTCTAGCATGACAAACATTTGTATATCGATACATATTAAGT